CCCACACCCACACCCACACCCACACTCACACCCACACCCACACACACCCACACACCCACACACCCACACATTTGTCAGGGGTATCACTAACTCTGGGCGACATGCTGGGTCCTAAAAAGACTCTTAATCCATTAGTGAAATGCATCCTCGGCAGACTTGTCGGGTTTCAATCTCTGAAAGTGTGATGAAACAGTCTGGCACAGCCATTGTTTTGTTCTGGGATTTGTGTAGCATGCTGAGGCCGCTACACGGGCCCTGTTTTGCGGCCCGATGGTTGTTCCAGGCCTCCAGGCCGCGCACCCATTTTTGGTGAGCGACCTGGAGGCCCACAACCATATTCCAGGCCAGGCCCCCAGCATTTATTATTTTTGCTGCGTGATTCAGTTTTGGCCGTTGTAGGCCAGGTTCAGATTTGTCCGTATGTGGGACTGGACCAGGCATTTGTCATTTGTCTGTTTGGGCCTGGCCCAGTCCTCAGGACCCTGCTGCATCAGCAGGGAGGGGCTGGACGTCCGGTAGGGACCCAGGTAGGCCATTTTTTTGCCAGGATCGTAGGACCAGGACTGGGGTCTGGGATCAGTACCATCGATCGGACTTCAGATCCGACGGCCCTGATCACAGACCGAGGACTGCTCAGCCAGGCCCAGCGGTATATAGCTGGGCCAGTCCTCCACTTCGACGACATTCGGGCTTGGGGCCTCCTTTGGGCGTCACGCTGCAGGAGCAGCGCTAGTTTGGGGAGAGATGCTATTGAGTAGCGCTGGAGGATTAGAGTATTAGGCTGGAGTAGAGAGGTTTGGCGGAGGCCATGTCCACGAGAGAGAGAGAGACTTACCTGGGCGCCATAGCTGGGACCTCATACCGGTCATGGGACCGGCCTTCAGCAGCGACCTGCATCGGGAGTCGTCACCTTTGCTGGTCAGTATTCATGGCATCGTCATCAGGAAACAGCCATTTCGTCAAAATGGACATATTATATTTTTTTAACGAAATCAAAACTGACTTTTTTTTGCCAAAATCCGGTCGGAATTTTTTGCTCCTGGAGGTCCGGCGTTCCCAGAACGCGGGACCCCCCTGGTCTATGGTTGAGACCAGATACTGTTTTTTTTTTTTTTTTTTTTTTTTTTTTTTTTTTTTTTTTTTTTTTTTTTTTTAATAAAACAATTATGCTGTTGAGTTTGAAGTTTGAAGTTTGAACTTGATTTTTTTTCCTACTTGAGTTTAATGATCGGTTATGGGATCGTTGGTTGCCATGAAAACAGGCTCTTATAGAGGATCTGGTATATGAGCTACGGATCTGGAAGGACGGCGGTGAATACACCGATAAAGATGTGAGGGACATTCTGGAGACCATTTGTGATGCAGCGGAGATGCGATACAGGTGTGTTCCACCTGACCACAATCTCGTGTCAAACTTCCCAAGTCTTTGTTTCGTGCTGAGTCATTGCTGACATATTCTCGTCCTAACTGCGATTTCGTAAAAACGGAAGGACGTTTTATATTTTTTGAAGTTTGAACGAGATTGAAAATCCATTTTTTTGGCCAAAAAGTTATGAAATAGGGGGGGTACAGCATTCCGAAAAAGCCCGACTCCCTCAAGGTATCTGGACATAGATGAAGTCTACATGCATCCAGGCCAGAAAACGCTGGACCCCTTGGACGTATGTGGACTTCACCCCCTTGGACGTACGTGGACTTCACCTAGTCCAGATACGTCGAGGGGGTAGGGCGTTTTTTCGGAATGCCATACCCCCCATTTCATGAATTTTTTTTTGGCCAAAAAAATGGATTTTCAATTTCGTTCAAAAAAAAAAAGACTATGTCCGTTTTTACGAAATCACAGTTTCCTCGTCTTGCAACCTGGCCTTCAACCATCAGGAGGAAACGCAAGATTCGTTCAGTCGCGGGGAATCCCACACCAATCTCTTGAGATATTGGCCCTACCATCCTTCTTTGCTTCCGGCTTTAGGCACATCTCTCCTTATTCTTCGGACGTGTCTTCTAGGTGCTTTCAGTCAGGGCCCATGGCTGCACAGGGTTTAGAGTTTTGTAGGGTTATGGACTCAGTAGGGTTTAGGGTTGAGTAGGCTCGAGGGTTTTGTGGAGATGGGGCCTTAGTACGCTTGAGGGTTTAGTAGGACTTTATAATAGGGTCACGGGTTCGTTAGGGCTTAGGGTTGACTAGGGTTGAAGGTTTAGAAGTAGGATTTAGGGATTAGGGTTTAGGGTTGTATCAACTTGCATGTGCTTCGGGACATCCGCTAAAAGGATTGGGACGATACAGAGAGAAAAGATGAGCATGGCCCCTGCACAAGGATGACACACTTTAAATCGAGAAAAAAATTCTGAAAAAGAGTTAAAGAAAACCGTTTAGGGTTTGCGTGTCTATGACATTATCCTTCCTCTGTTCGTGCCCACTTGAAATTCTCTCGGCTTCTCCCTCTGTGTCATCTAGGCGGGTTCATTGTCTGCTGATGATGGTATCTTTCGGATCTTGGGTACCAGAGGGAATCTTCAGTGGACGGGGTGCGAAGAGCGGGAGAAAACACTAACATGTGCAATGCGAAGATGAATGACTGTGATTTGATAGTAGAAATTGTGAAATTGTGAAACTGTGAAATCGTTATGAGCGTAGGAGGAAACAAATGGTAAGACCGTCAAGATGGTATGGGACCGGAGAAGAAGAAAAAGGTAGGGACTGTGAGAGAAATGGCAAGGGGTGGGGTGAGGGGGAGATGACGCTAACGCAAACAGACGAAGAATGCCTGTGATTTAATGTGGCATCAGTGTCCGGGGCCCCGCACTGAAAAATACACACGAGAAATGGGGCTGCTATGTAATATCAGCCGCCCCCCCCGGAAAGGCAGTGCCACGAAATAGAGCCCACTTTAATCAGAACCATCTTACTCTGTTCCCCTGGTCGCATCTGGATTTGAACTTGGGTCTCTGTTTCCAAGGTACAATTGTGTACACCGCGAGGTCCATGGTTGCAATGGTTATCTCGGAAGGTCGGCACGATGGTTACCTCGGAAAGGGGTCGGTGCAGTGGTCATCTCGGAAAGGTCGGCGCACTTTCTGAAGAAAAAAAAGGGACAAAAAAAGTTAAACCCAAAAAAAAGAAAAAAAACTGGGAGAGTGTGAGCATGCCCTAAGAAACCACCGTGTCCTAGCATGCCACCAAAAAAGAAAAACCACAACCCCCCCAAAAAACTGGCTGTGCGAGTGTGAGCATCTCCTGAGAAACGACGATGTGTGACCATGCTCTAAGAAACGACTACTTGTGAGAATGCCCTAAGAGACAACTACGACTATGTGTTTGTCTTTTGTGTGTGACAATGCCCGTAGAAATGACTACGACTGTGTGTGCAATGAACTGTAATTGCCGCCAGGTGCATCCTGGCTGGGTTGGAAAAGCGGCCGGCACATCCAGCGAAGACCTCATTCTGAGGGCATGCTCACACTAGGACCTTCTTTTCTCACCTCTGGACGCGCTTACGGTCAGATATATCCATGGTGTTGCAGTCAGACACATCCAGAAAAGTTGTAGTGTGAGTACGCCTTCAATTACCTTCTGTTTAATGACGACGTCTGAAGGCCGTAGAATTGAAAAAAGGGAAAAAAGTAAGCTGCTCGATATGGGGTGAGCTGAACAGGATTCGAGCTCGTAATCTGGAAGATGACAGTCAGGGGTCTTCTTGCCCTCCAGGCATGTCTGGCTATGCAGTTGTGATCAAACGCCTGACAGAGCAGGGACATCGCGACTTGCAGCCGGGGAGAGCACGAAGCCGTGCGGCCAGCCAGCCAGCCCAAATAGAAATGGAACGCGCCTCCACAAATATGATGCCGGAAATGACAAAACATTTTGCACTTTCAAAATGGAAAGTCGGGCCTCCGAATCTGCAACCCTCGACCCCGCGCCCTGGAGGACGGGAGGCCAGAAACTGTGCCCTAGACGACAAAAGAGAAAGTGGACAAAGACCATGTGAGAAATACGAAGAACAAAATGGGGAAAATGAAACTGGGCTTCCACGTGATTCAAGCCTCCTACCTCTGAAAGGAAAGAAAACGAACCCGAAAAGAAAAAAAAAGGTACCGAAAACACCATGGTACCTGCAGGCCTCGGGAATTTTTTTTGCGGGGCTCATTTGAAGCGTCTTCCAGGGCCCCGGCTTATGCTTTAAGTATTTAGTAGATAGATAGATAATGAGCATGAGTCCTCCACGACATCCATTAAAATTGAAAAGATACAGAGAAAGAAGATTAGCAAGGCCCCTGCGCAAAGATGACAGGCATAAAACGAGAAACTGTCCAAGTTACAAACACACAGATGCACGCGCACACACACACACACACACACACACACACACACACACACACACACACCAGAGGAATGAGCATGAAACACGTATCCTGGTAGAGGGAAGGGAAATGGAAGACTGTCCAGATGGGAAGAGAGACGAGGGAAAAAAAGTTTTGTGAGATGATCAGCGGCCAAGCTCCTGCTTTTGTTGCTTGGAGAAATTAGAAAGCCGAAAAGGACCGACGGGCCCGGCTCACTTGGTACAATCACAAGCCGTTGAAATTACCTGTGTTGAAATCCAGGTGGAACTAGATGAGCGAAAATCCTGAATCACCAGGGGCCACACCCGGCCACTCAGTTTCACCGTGATATCTCAAGGCTGACACCCTCTTAACGAAAAAAAGAAAGCAAGAAAGGAAATCCAGCTGGATAATGCTCCGGACCTGCACAGACTGGATAATGATCCAGACCTGCTGACAGGTACACTTGTCTTTTTTTTTCCAGGAAACCAGCAATAATGGTCCAGACCTGCACAGACATAATATCGGACTACGAGTACGAGATTGTACAGGCTTTTGTCAATCAGATGTTAAGTTCTGAAAACGGGCAGTCGCTTGAGATATCTGCAAAGATCAGAATCTGCAGTGAAGTAGCAGGCCACTGTGACAAAGAGGAGTTTGGTCCCTTCGGGAGGCCGCGAAAATTTGAAGCTCGTTTCGACGCGGAGGATGACTCCGACTCCGACTCCGACTCAGATTCTGAGTCGGACTTCGACTCCGACTCAGCAAAGCACACAGAGCTTTGACTATCCTGACTTTGACTCCACGCGACGCATTGGCAATCTCAACGGGACACTTTGTTTTTTTTGTTTTTTTTTTCTGAAAAAGGGCGACGGCCTTAATCACCATGTGAGACGAAGTCGACTCAGCAAAGCACACAGAGCTTTGACTATCCTGACTTTGACTCCATGCGATGCATTGGCAATCTCAACGGGACACTTTG